TCATTTTTAGACATGTACATCCAATGCAATAACTTAATTGTTCTATTAAACCAGGATAAGATATTCGATGATCAACAACAGATTTATTTATTTAACCAATAATACTCAGAGAGAAATCAAGGAAAAAACTACAAGAAAAAGTGTAAAATCCAAAGTTTCAGATTCAATTCACAAAAAATGTTTTATTTTGATACAATTGTAAATCAAAATAATCTCTCAGAACATCCATGGATCTCGGTTAACTAGACCCTAAAAGCATGTACACCATAACTTGTAAACTGCCATCACCAAGTTTTGCTTTTTTTTTTCGGCTCTCAGAAGAGAATGAAAATATGAATGAATCGGCACCATCATCTGCAGTGCACCATATGTTTCTATATCGTCAAGATATGGAACACATTTTTGAAGCAAGCAATAAAGCATGTGTATGTGTCTTCCAAATCTTAATGTTTTTTAAGGAAAAACTTCAATATGTTCCATGCATTTGTACAAATGTTTTTTTGCAATTAACTTCTGTACTCCTCATGCCACCTTTGAATGGAGTATTCACAAATCTATATAAGAAAAGAACATCACATGCTTATGAAGATTCTCAAGATATCTAAGCAAAAGCAGATAATTAAAACTAATGACAAGTGAAACTAGACTTCATCCAGTATAACACAGAGTTGAACTGTTTCCAGGAAATTGAAATAGATGCACCCAATTAGAAGTATCAGACCGTAATGGTTTAGAGAATATCAAGTTTCAAGTACTCTCGATCAACCTAGTAGGACGTGAACATTTATGGCTTAGCATATCATATAGGTTACCACAAACCTGAATAAGATATCTTGTACAGTCTACAGTTTGTTTAAAACAAGTAAGTCTTCCCTCCGGTGAAGTTACCAAAACCGTAAGCTTCTGGTTTGTGGTATAAATATAGGACAAGTGAAATTATCTGACTGGACTTGGAAGTAGAAAGGGTTGAATATCGTGATTAAAAACATATAAAAAAGGTCAATGTACAACTAGTAAAGACAATAACAACAGTTTTTCTGGGAAAACAACTCCAAATAATACAATTATAGGAGCTATTTTCTTTTTCTTCCTTTTTTAAAGAAGCAAATTTCCTTTATTAGTTCCTCAATCACTCAAGTACTAAAACAAAGCATTCCAAAGAGCTACACTAGCATGTTAGGAAAAATGAAAAATGCAGAAAAGCTAACCTCATCGTGGCATCCTATAACATATTTATGCAGCAATGATTTAAGTTAAACAAAAAACAAAGTCATCCGATTGAGACATCTTAATCAACAACTTAATGCTCTCGATTGCCAAGAAGTTTAAGAAATTATGTTAACTATAACAAATTTATGCAGCATCTAACAATATCAGAAAAAATTCAGGAAGAAAGCTACAAGTGAAAATGTAAAAATCCAAAATTTGAGAAAAAGTATATTTGTAAACAAAAATAATCTCTCAGAAAATTCTGAGGATGCTTCCAACAACATAAATCTAAAAAAGATACGCATTTCTCACTATTTCATGTGACATGCAAAAAAAGAAAAAAAACTAATGACTTACCTGTGATTGCAGTCGTAACTTTTCTTGTTTCAACAAAGATATCTCTGTTTCTGCCTGTCAAATTTAAGTTACTGTCAGACAGTTAATTGGGGGGGTCGGGGGAAGTGGTAGGGAAGGGGGAAAGAGCAGTAATTCAAGATATATATTTACTATTTTCTTTTCTCCTTCGGAGGTGACTAATAACTTTCTGTAGACCAGAATCACCAAGTGGGTCTGAGCATGCTTCCACCAACAGATATTCCAGAGAGAAATATCCTTCTCTGCCAACTGA